GCCCTCAGCCAGGGTCAACCCACCACAGGGTTTAGTTATGCTGCTTGGTGTTTCCCACTCTAGAAATCTTTGTTTATAATTTTGCAAATTTTCAGCTAACAGGCTTGAAATTTTTCATGTTGAATGTGTAACACAAGCTCAACTTTATGGCAAATTGTGAACAAAAATTTCAGTTGAACCATGAAAAAAGATATGGCTTTGCCCAAGACGGGAAATGTAAATTTTCTTCCTTTTTTGTATTAAATGAAAAGTTCAAGAGAGATAATTTTGTATAACTGATTTTACATTTAGCAGAAAGCAATGAATAAGACAGGGAAGATGTAGGAAAATATGCTGTGTGGTAAATCAACCAAGAATCATATTATTAAGCATATACATTCAGCAGCTGAATTACAGTTGGTTAAGCAATCTTAATCCTGGTATTTCCTGACTTTCTGGTCTTTGAACTTTAGTGATACTCACCTAACAACTGTGCATGTGATTGTTTTAATGTTTTATTTGCAGAAATGACTTTTTTTTTTGCCAAGGAGAAATCGCCATTTCCATTTGACTGAATTGCTGGCCAGAAACCCTGACTGGTTATTCCGCACAGGAAAGGCTGTACTGAAAACAATAATCTGAGGATGTTTTCCATTACACTGATCATTTAGTTTGGAAGAAAGTTTACTTTGGGTAGAATGCATCAAAATGCTGTTCATTTTAGCTGCATAACTCCCCTGCAGGAGTATTGAGCAAGGTGCTGTTTTCCTTTTGCAGTGCCCATAAACGAACGTCAGATGGCTGTGATAGAAGCATTCCGCCATGCATGGAAAGGATACAAGGATTTTGCCTGGGGCCATGATGAGCTGAAGCCTTTGTCCAAATCCTACAGTGAGTGGTTTGGACTTGGGCTTACCTTAATTGACGCCTTGGATACCATGTGGATTTTAGGCTTAAAAGAAGGTAATTTTTTTTTTTCTCCTCCATTTTTTTCCCTCTAAAACAATTCCTTATTTTCTATTCAGGCAGTACATGTTCAAGAATCTCTGAGGGGAACATTTATTATGTGTGGTCAATAAGTTTAGTTTTCCTGTGAGGGTAAATACATGTGTATATATTTATAAAACCAATATGTATAAGGATAAATATTACAAAATCCCAACTATATTAAAGGACACCATTTTTCCTGGAATATTCTGCTATTACATATAACAATGGATATGTCTGCTAGAAACTGGGGAAGGGATTAGTAAGCCTTCCGATTTTTGTTTCTGTACTAAAGCCCTAGTGCTACCTTTGTGCCATTATACAGCCACTGTAGGCTTTCGACCCGACAGTCTTAGGGAGTTAGCCTGAACACTCCTAGATTGTGTTTCATCACACCTAGTATCGGTGTTTCATATCTGGAGTTAAGAAGGTTGTTTCTGTAAGAAATCAATGGGTGGAGAACGGAAGTGTTCAATACCTCCTTCCTGAATGGATCTGCTGTCTGTATTTTTTCACAGTTATTCTGGAAGTGACTATATTAGTTTTTAAAATGTTTGAAAGTTTTCTAACAAAAAAATTCTGCAATTCTGTTGCAAAAAGCTTGCTTAATCAGTATTTAAGAGTTATTTTGTGTGGTTGTTTTGGTGGGTTTTTTTGTTTTGTTTGGTGGTTTGGGTTTTTTTTTTTGTGGTGCAGGGTTTTTTTTTAGTGGTAAAAATTTCTGGAACTATTTAACCTTGGTAGATAGCCACCTTTGTAAACTTACCCGTCATGCAATTTTTTTGTGTCAAGATAGGAAGAACAGAGCTGCTAGTAAGGGGACAATAAGCAGTGAAAGTCTTCATGGTTCTGGCTCTTCTGCCTTTGAATTTTGTGTAAAATACTAAATCAAACAAAAACTCCCTGTCATGTGGTGGCAGCAGGCCTGAGCAGGCTGCTTTGAAGTTTCATCAAGTTGACAGTGTGCTGCTTTTTTCATAAAACATTAATTGTGAACTGCATAGAGTTTTTAAAATAAATTATTAGTAATTTATATGTGTAAAAAATGGGTTCTTGGTGAAGGCTTCTTCATATTTTATAGCAGTTCTTTTGCTGATTGCCTTAGAAAGCTCCTGGGGTTTCTTCTGAATAACAAATGCCGTATAAATGAAAGTTCTGTTTGAGGTTGCCAGTCTTTCTTATGAGCTGATGAAAGCTAACACTTCTGTGAAAGAGGACCTTACCTTATCTGTTGTACTGCTAGATAGTGCTAATATCTGACAGGGGAGATTTTTTCTGTGCTTCTTCTAAGCTTACCCAGCATCCAAGACGTTTTTTCTTGTGAGGACACAGAGACATTCTTTTTCTTTAATCTCCTGTGGAATACCTTCCATTTCTGGGAAACTGATTGTGTTTCTGCACCCGCTCACAAGCGGGAGTTTCTGGAACGTGTGAGATACTTTGAGGTAGCTCATGCCCTAACTGAAGGCTAAGCTAACTCACATGCACCATGGATTTAGACCCTGTGCAAAAGCAATCATTGAGTGATGCTGCTGATAAACTGACAGCTGAATCTAAATTGGCTTTTTTTTTTTAACATCCTTTTTGAATTAGTATTGTGATAAACCACCATTTTTGTTTCTGTGGAAAAAATTGAAGACTGTCAGGATTTTATGGGTTAAGTGGTCCCCAGGACATTGCTAGACTAATGGCTTAATGGCTATTAACTGCAAATGTTATCTGTTATCTTGGTAGATAACAGCTTTGGTTTAAAAAGATTTAATTCAAAAGTTCTGAAGGCTCTTGTGGAGGTGTAACATTGTCTGATAGGCCAAATGGGTGGACTTAAAACATCTCAATTTCTGGACTATTTCAATAAAAATTCCTCAATTTCTTCTTTATTTTAGACTATTAGGAACTTTTTATTTTGCTGGGAATTTCTGTCTGTATGCATCTGTGGTGCATGCTGAATAAGAATTAAGCCAATGTAGTCAAACTTCTCCCAGCATGTGTTCATAGTTTGTTTTCCACCTAAAATTACGATCTCTGTTTACAGATATAAGTAACTGTCATGGACATATGTGGTACTAATGTCTCTAGTCTAGTTGTTGGAACATGCCAGAAGTTCATAACTGAACTACCTTTTATACTTTGCAGAGTTTGAAGAAGCAAGAAAATGGGTAGCAATCGATTTAGTATTTGATAAAAATGTGGATGTGAACCTCTTTGAGAGCACTATCCGTATCCTGGGGGGCTTGCTGAGCACCTACCATCTCTCGGGAGATAGCCTCTTCCTGGAAAAAGCTGTGAGTGACTGGTCTTACAAATAAAACCGTATTATGTATTCCATATGGGACAAAGTTGAGGGAGGATTCAACAGAAAGTTAAATGTTGCTGGTTTTTAACACTTTCATAGTTAAAGTGGTGGGAAAGGGATTTGCTGTTAATCCTTTAAGCCTGCACTTCTGTTTGCTCTCACTGTGCTTTATCAGGTATTCTTATATGCCTGTTCTTCTGTTGATGAAGAGCTGACCATAATAAATTTCATGAAACAAAAGAGAAAATAAATGCTTGGAAAAGAGTAATAGTTGTCTTTTGTTTGCCCTTTCTGTGTGTCTTGACAGCATCAGCCACCTTTTTAGATTAGCTAGATGCAGTCAATTACTTTGGAATTACATCATGTTGCGTAGGGATTGCAGACTCAAATGAGGCATGCAATACTAGGAACAAAGTAGAAACTCTGTAGTTGTTACTATGAATAAATCCATGACCCTTTTTCATGCTGGGCTTTCTTGCACCATCTAAAACTAAGCTGCTATTTTCTTTTTTTTTTCTGTCTGCTCGGTGAAAGAAAATCTAAAGGGGTGTGTGTGAGTGGGTGTATATTTAATTTTTTGTTCCTTGTTTTGTCCTGTGCTCTTGGGTTTTCTTTAGAAAGACATTGGGAACAGGCTTATGCCAGCATTCAAGACCCCCTCCAAGATACCATATTCTGATGTCAACATTGGCCGGGGCACTGCACATCCACCTCGCTGGACATCTGACAGCACTGTGGCAGAGGTGACCAGTATTCAACTGGAGTTTAGGGAGCTCTCTCGTCTCACTGGAGATGAGAAATTCCAGGTGTGGAAGATTCGGTCAATGTTCTTCTCTTTTTCCACCTCTCTACAGCACCACCACTGACTCTCCATCAATACATGTAGTCTCTGTAGTCTCTAAGTGACGTTAAATGAGTTGTGAAACTCTAGATGAGGGAAGGAAAAGAAACAAAAGTAATAGCAATTATTTTCTTAAGTACCAAAAAATAGTTGTGGAGGTGAATAATTATTTTTCTCCCTCAGAAACAGCTTTTGGTTTAAAAAAACCAAACCAAGCCACAACAAAACCAAAACAAAGAGCATCCTCACCCTCCCCCAACTCCCTAGTTTTTATCATTGACATTTTTGTTTGACACTAGGTTATCATATTTTGAAAAAAAATTAAGCTAAACAGGGTCTCTGAAACTGTGCTTAATGTTGTTAGAATTGTGTGTGTGGTTTCTTGATGTCATTATCTAAATGCAAAGAGCAAAACCCTGGAGTTGCCATCCAAGGAACTAAAACGTGACTCATTGGATAAGCGTCTGACAGCAGGTCACAGTATAAGGAAAAGTTAGTTGAAATAAAAGTAATTCCAGAGAAAAGAATATTTTCCACTCTTTTTGTTTGGCAATGTTGTTTTAAACTGTATCCGCATCTCAAATTTTAAAGAGGGCAGTTAATTAAATAAGTTTTAGCTATTGTGTGATTCATGTAGTTGTTATGTCAGCTGGACTTGTATTTTGCAAATATGAGTAAATCAAATCATAGTCCTATGCCATAGGCTTTCGAGTGGGCTTACTTGAAGGAAGGGCAATAGTTATAATTATTTCAGAGTACTGAAATGTACCCAGAACATCATGTTTTGAGACTCAGAACATTTGAAATCCTGTATTTAATATATTGGATGAGCTGAACTTGATGTCCCTGATGTTACTTTGAGGAAGAATAGTTAAACGTTTGTTATCAGCCTGAAGTTACTAGACACAGTTTTCTGCATTATTTATACCTGTATTTTATGTTCGCTATTTTCTTTCTTTTAGAAAGCAGTAGATGAGGTGATGAAGCATGTTCACACTCTCTCAGGGAAAAATGACGGACTAGTGCCTATGTTCATAAACACCAACAGCGGGCAGTTCACTCACCTGGGTGTCTATACTCTGGGAGCCAGAGCTGACAGCTACTACGAGTATTTGCTCAAGCAATGGATTCAGGGCGGGAAAAAAGAAAACGAGTAGGTTCTTTCCACTTCTTATAGTGGTGTGAGAATTATGTAAGCTGTAAAACTTGCTGTTGTAGTTTGTTGTTTAAAGAAAAATAACATAAGTGCCCAACAGTTGACTGAAAATACCACTGTTTTCAAAAGCAAGTGTCGTGGTTTAATCCTAACCAAAAACCAGGACAGCAAGCTAAGCAAGAAAGAGGACTTGTGGTAACTTGATGTAACAACAGCGTGAGAGTTAGGCTTAGTCTCAAAACTCCTTATCAGAAAACTTTTCTTCCTCAGCGCATCAGGTGTGAGGAGTGTTACAGACAGGAGAAGAGAATTAAGTCTTTACAGTAGATATGGAGCATAATTAGACAGTTCTGAAATACTGATCATGCTTCATTTCACCAGCAATGTCTGTGTTTTCTCTGGGTTTGTTAGGGAAAGGTGAATCCTAGAAGATGTTTGAGGTGGGAGATTTAATCCATAAGGAATAACTTTTCTTAGAAAAAAAGAGACTGAAGTTTGATGTTTGTGTAAATTTTGCTTTAGGTCTTGTATGTTTTTCTTATCTGCACTGGATAAGTGGAAGAGAATGTTTGCAAGGAGCAGAGGAATTAGAGATGTTGGAAAAGATTTCCTGCAAAACAAGACAAAAAATCCAAGCAGTTTTTATCTGCTTATAAACTAATTATGTTGGACTTGTTCATGTCAAGGGATTGAATGCATACAGAGCAGCAATGTGCCTCTCTGAGGCATTTCTTTATATCGGAGCAGGTGCATCTCTACAAAGAAGTTTGCATTGCTGCTTTTTCCAAGCCATGCTTCGCTGTAGACGAAGAACTGTTGTCTTTGGGACCGTGAATGATGGCATTTTGTGAGCCTCAAAATGGAAGTATTCAGCAGTTTTTCCCACATGAAAGTACTTTGAAACAAGGGAAATTCCAATTAAATACTGTGAAACAATGTTTCACAATAAGAGTGGTCAAACATTGGAAAAGATTGCTCAAAGTCATTGAATCTCCATCTTTGGATGGAGATACTACTAAATGCTTGGATGGAGATACTAAAAAAATTGCTCGGATAAGCCCTCAGGCAAACTGATCTAATTGAATCTGCTTCAGAGCAGAAGGTTGAAGTAGAGGTTTTTCCTGTCAGTTTTCACATTTGGTTAAATATTGTTCTTTAGACTGAAATAATGATCTCCAAAACCGTTTGCTGATTGTGCTGAATATCGACTATGATTAAATGTGTTCTCAATGTGTGTGTGTGAGCCAACTGGGAATTATTTTAATTCACAGACTGTTGGAAGACTATATGAGAGCCATAGAAGGAGTGAAAAAGCATCTTCTTCAGAGATCGCAACCCAAGAAGCTTACTTTTGTAGGAGAGCTTGCTCATGGCCATTTCAGTGCCAAGATGGTAAGAAGTACAACTGCGTTTTAGAAAAGCAACACCAAAAGAAAACAAAAACCACCACCAAAAAAAAAGAAAAACCCCAACATTTAGACAGGCAAATGCAAACCTTCTGTGCTGTCTTTCCCCTTTATCTGCTCTAAAGGAAAAAAAACAAACCCAAACAAACAAAACACCAAGACTCTGTGTGTGTGTGTGTGTATATATATCTCTATATATATCTATCCAGGGTGATGGCATTACTGAGTAACTAGTTCTCACCTGTGCAAACCAGGGGCCTTCTCTTTGAGTTACTCTAGTAAATATGTTTATATTCCTGTAACACTGAACATTTTGGTGCTGGCGATAAATTTTCTTTTTCTTTTTCTTTTTTTTTCCCCTGTTTCGGTCATAAAATTCCAGTGTCTGAAACACTTGAGGCAGTGCCTATTTTATGTATTATTTATTTTCCATAATTCAAAAATATATGCAGACACTTGCACACCTGGCTTGTCAGGTTTACCTTCAAAAGAAGCAGGAGATCTAATACAGTGTTACTGGATCAAAAAAGAAAAAAAATCTGATAACTTTGGAGGGTTCTGTCCATTCATGACATTTGTTTCTTTTCCTACGTGCATGGTTATTGAGTAAAACAGTATGCTGTTTGCTGTAAAAAAGATCTTAACTCCCTGCTCTTAATTTGTACATCCATGCTCTTTAAAATGCATTTTAAGACCTTTCAGTTAAAGATCTCATGCAAGTGCAAGTACTGTATGTTTGTGTGACTTTTTTTTTTTTAAGATGAGTGGTATATTATTAATGTATGTGTAGCCTTAACACATACTCTTGTTGTCCTTTGAACAATTGTTTACTGTAGCAAGTAACAGCTAAGAAAGAAATGTCCCTGCAGTCCTGCTGCTTTGTCTTGGGGAAAGCAAGCAGGAA